AATGCCCCGCCCCTCTCCGCCCCGCCCCACCCCCTGCTGGTCCCACCCCTCTTCGTCCTGGCCTTACCCTTTGCTAGTACCGTACCTCGTCACCCCACCCCCGCTCCTTATTGGTCATGCCCCTCTTCGACCCTCCCTTACCGCTCCTTTCTGCTCCTCCCTTGCACCGCGGCAACTGGGAGCCTCTGCGCACTGACGTCACACGTCAGCGCCAGTGACGCGCAGGTCGCTCCCGCTTCCTCAGCACTAGCTTCTGGGTTTGGGGCGCTGGGGGAGTCCTTACTGAGTCCTTGTGGGTGCCCGCCTGGGTCCCCTGTGGCGGGCGGGAGGGTGCGGCAGGCAGGCAGCCTCCCAGTTCCACCTGCTGCGGTCGCGGGCGGCCCGTGAATTTGGAGAGGCGGTCACCCGGGCACTCCCCGTCGTTTCCAAGGGGTCCGAAGGCGGTGTGTTTTCGTCCGGGTAGAGTTGGTCTGCCGCGCGGGCGCTGCGCCTGGCCGGCCGGTCGAACCTAAGGTGTCCGCCCCTGACGGGTGTCAGTTGTGCGAGGCTCGGTGCCCCCTTCACTTGGACTGTGAGCTGCTGCTGCTGCGCTCCCGAGACTTGGTGTCTCTTGTAGGATTGCTATTCAGCACGCATGGCGCCTATGCCTTCTTAAGTCCTGTAGGAAACACGGTTGCTTCTAGACCGATGCTTAGGAGCCTCACCGTTATTCCTGCTAGTCTCGCGTCATTGAGGTGAGTTACGCCCGGGGGAAGCAGTGACACGCAGGAATCATACCAGGAACGAGACCTGTATGGGTCTGTTTCCATAGAGATTGCATGGATGCTCCCCTTAAGTGTTTGCATGCAGAACACCTACATTTCATTAAAATGTTAACTCTATGGACCTGTACGTGACTCAGAGCAATCCTTTGACATTATCATAAAATGGAATGCAGTTACGTTAATAGCACTCTGAGAAGATAAGCAGTCATTTAAACTGCTTTATGTATATTTTAATTAGAAAATAAATAGCAGCTAACTGGTTACCCTAAGGTCTGATAAATATTTTTCCATGATTCTGCACAATTTCCATATGTAAAGTCTTGAAAGTTCTACCACTTTAATAATTCATCGTAACTTGGAGGGGGTTCCGGGAGATTGAACCCAGGGATTTCGTTCAGGCAAGGCAGATGATCTGTATATACCCCAGCCTCTGTAACTTTAAGGCAAGTCTATTTTTCATTCTGTTGTGTAAGTTCTCCAAGAAGCAGGAATGTTTCTCATTGCCTACATAACTTGCATAGGAAATGCTTGTGAAGGCTTAAAAGTAGAGTCAATCTACACTTATAATGGCCTTTTATTATGATGCAGCAGTATTGTAGAGATGATGGAAAGGAGCCAAATCAGAGGAAAAGTAGCTCTTTGTTTCTAGTTTAGACAGATTTGTCTGTTGTTAGAGGATCTATCTCATTTTAAAGTCTGTTTGAGGTGGAACTCAAGTAGGTTTTGTGGAAAACCAGGTTTTTGCACAGAAAAAATTGGTGAGAAATTTGGTAAAGGTGTGGAACTTAACCACAGAAGTTCTTTTGAGGTCATGTTAATAATGCATTGACATTGTATTCCAAGTAGGTTTTACTCTTGTGCCTTCTGTTCTAAATCATGAACATGATGTGTTTCCACAAATAGAAAGCTTTTATTTACACAGTGTAGTTTCTGCCGAGTGTGGTGGCTTAGGTCTTTAATCCCAGCACTTGGGAGACAGAAGCAGATGGATCTCTGTTAGTTCAAGGCCAGCCTGGTCTACTTAGTGAGTTCCAGGCCAGCTGGGCCTAGAGGGAGACTGTCTCAAAAATACCAAACCAAACAAACAAAAAAAGTAGTTTCTACTGCAAACCCCTTAAGTGTTGTCTGAATATACTTGGAGAACAAAGCACATACCTTGAAAAAAGTCTAAAAGCAATTTTCATCTTTGCTTTCTACTTTTTTTCAGTAATGAAAAAATACAGATTTTCTTTTCTGTGAAGATACTTTGACCATTTACCACAATTCCAGGTGTATTTATTTATTTATTTATTTATTTTTGTCTTTTTGAAGCAGGGTCTCCCTGTAGCCCCAGCTGTCCTGGAACTGACTGTAGACCAGGCTGGCCTTGAACTCACAGAGATCTGCCTGCCTCTGCCTCCCAAGTGTTGGGACTACAGGTGTGCGCCACCATGCCCAGCTTATTTATTATTTTGGAAGAACCGTCTGTGTCAACACACAGTACCGAAATACTCCTTGGAATCTGTTATTTTTTTCCTAATGTTTCCCTTCAGGTTAACCTGTCCATTAGGTATCTGAAACAATGGATGCTTAGTGCAACCAGCATCTGTTCTTGATTGATGGAGAGGGAATTCTTCATCCATGTGCTCTCACAGTATTCATCTGTGGCACACAATATTTTATTATGTCAAACAATGCTCATTTGTAACTAAGTTCTTAGAAAAATGGAAAGGAAGATTCCCAGTTTGACTAGAGGTTTAGCTGGGTTCTTCTGGAGCATTACTGACACTGAAAAGAGGTTCAACATCAGGGTGGAAAGTTTGGAAATGGGGAATTGTTCAAGGAACTTTTTTCAGTGCTATGGATTGAACCCAGGGCCTAGCTCATGCCAGGCAATATCTCATTCCTATTCAAAGATTTAAGTAGGGCTGATGAGATGGCTCAGCATGGAGAGGTGCTTGCCACCAGACTGTATGACCCACATGGTGGAAGGAGAGATCCAACTCCCACAGGTTTTTTCTCATGTTCACATGCACACACCCCAACACACATACAAAATAAATAAATGTAATAACGTTTCTAAAAAATATTTAAGAGAACTGGCTTAGCCAGTGTTGTTCTTACTTGTATCAGCATACACAAAGTTAAAATGTTACTGTTTGAAATTTAGAAAGCACAAAGGATTGAAAAACTCACTCCTCAGTTCCTTTGGAGGTGATCAGTACTACCAGTTTATTCTGTGTCCTTACAGATGTATTACTTATTAGAAGTGCTTATATGTGTGTATGTGTATACATACATAAAGTGTAAAAGTTATACACGTGTATTTTTTTCTGCCACACAAGTAGTAATTTATTAGTTCCACCTTATCTACAGTTTGAGTTACCCATGGCCAACTGTGGTCTGAAAATTTTAAATGAGAAATTCCAGAAATTAACAATTCATGATTTAAAAAAATTTTATATGTATGAGTGTTATACCTGTAAATATGTAAGTGCATCCATGTCATACAGTATCCGAGGAGGACCGAAGAGGGCTTCAGATCCCTTGGATCTAGAGTTACAGATGATTGTTAGCCGCCATGTGGGTGCTGGGATTTGAACCCAGGTCATCTGCAAGAACAGCCGGTGGTCTTAACTGCTGAGCCTTCTCTCCAGCCCCAATTCATGATTTTGTAATTACAGGCCATTCTGAGTAGCATGATAAGATCTGAAGCTGTCCTGTTCTACCCTTCCTGGGACATGGATCATACAGTTGTACAGCATATCCACACTCCTTATGTACTACCTGTCTGACACTTTGTAGCCTTATTGTTTTTGAGGTTGACAGTCACATTGTAGCAGTGCATGCATGCAATCTTGATTTTCCTTAATGTCCCTAGAGTGCTGATACTGACAATTTGGATATGCCAAAGAACTTCCTTTAAGTAAAAAGCTAATGTTAGAGTGTAATAGTTTGAGAGTGATAATAACTTTTATTACAGAATATTATTCTATTTTATTGTTACTGATCTTTTATTATGTCTAAATTATCAATTCAATTTTATCCATATATATGTATAGGACAAAGCAGTACATATATGGTTTGTTACTATGTGTGATTTCAGATATTTATTGAGTGTCTGATCATTTTTAAAGACTTAATACTTAGAAATCAATCCAGTTAATACAAATGCTGCTGCTTTTTAAGATTTTTTTTCAAATTTATTTTTTCTATTTAAGGAAGTGTTTTGCCTGCATGTATGTGAATGTACTACCTGGATATAATGCCTGTGGAGGACAAAAGAAGGCATCAGATTCCCTGGAGCTAGAGTTATGGGTGGTTGTTAGCCACCTTCTGGGAACCAAACCTGAGTCTACTGGAAGAGCAGCCAGTGCTCTTAACCACTGAGTCATCTCTCTAACCCCAATAAGTTCTACTCCTTTGACTCTATTTCTATTTCAAATTTGCCCGTAGACTAAAAGTGCCACTAAACGCAGATGGTAACTTTGTACATGTATCATTTAAAACATATTTGAAAATATTTACAGGGTTAAATATAGAAACTGAATGGCTGTACATTTATATTGATATATATTCCCATATTGTTTTTCTTAGTATGTGTACCAATTAAGGCCATCACAGATTGTTTCCTTCTGTTCGCCTCCAAAACTGTACAATAACAAACTTTCAGAAGTTTGTCAAATTGTTGAGAAATGCTATTCTTGTACTTTAATATTATTATTAAGTATTCATAACATAAAACTTACTTCCTCTACTTTAAAATTGTGTTTCTTTTTAGCTTCATATTCTTTTTTCACATCCCTATTGGATTGGTTTTTTTTTTCCTTTATGAATATTTTAGAGTCACTTTAATTAAAAAAAGGACTGGCAATATGAGCGACACCTGGCTGCTGCTAATTATTGAGTTTGTGGTGGGAACTCAGCTGTTCTAAACTAGCTTTGTGCCAGTTGCTTCTTGTCCTTGTGTTTTCCAGCTTCCAGAATTGTTTCCTGTTACTTTCTTGCTTGTTCTGTCTCCCTTAAAAAAAAATGATTCCTTAAAAAATTTGTTTTATTATTTATTTATTTATTTTGCATGTTTGTGCACAAGCATATCACAAGATAGCTTTTGGGAGTTGTTTCTCTACTTCCACCATGTACATCTGGAAGACCAGACTCAGGTCAGCGAGCTTGGCAGCAGGAACCTTTTACCCACTGAGCCATCTCCCCAATCTTCTTCACTCTCTTTCTTAATTAGCTTTGGGGAAGAAGTAAAAGTAAATATGAAATGTCAGCTTAATATATTTAACTGTATACTGCAGTTTGCTTTTTACATCTTTGAAAGAATTTGGCTAAAGAAATTATCATGACTTTTTAATGAACAGGTGTTTTGTTTTGTTTCTAAATCTTTTTGAGACAGGGTCTCCCTGTAGCCCCAGCTGGCCTGGAACTCTTAAGTAGACCATGCTGGCCTCAAACTCACAGAGATCCTTGTGTCTCTGCTTCCCAGGTGCTGGGATTAAAGACATACCACCACGCCCAGCTTTGGACAGGCTTTTTTTTTTTTTTTTTTTTTTTTTTTTTTAATAGACATTCATACTCTTTGTAGCAAAATTGTAAACTGCTCAAGTTTCTGATTTTCTAATCTACTTTTTTTAATTTCTCTCAAAGTTGAAGACCATTAGAATTGGTCAGATCCTTGAGATTGAATCTGCTTAAATCTCTACTGTGGGGTTTTTTTTTTTTTTTTTGGTCTTTTTGAAACAGGGTCTCTCTATAGCCCCAGCTGTCCTGGAACCCACTATGTAGACCAGGCTGGCCTTGAACTCACAGAGATCTGCCTGCTTCTGCCTCCCGAGCGCTGGGCTAAATCTGTAGTGTTTTTAAATGAAGAAACTAAAGTCTGCTGAAATCAAGTTGGCTTTTGATTAGTTGGACTCATCTCTTAATTCTAAATTTGTTACTTAAAAAAAAAATTTTTAATGAGTGTTTTGCCTGCATGTATGTTAGTGTACCCATGTTGTACAATGTCCAAAGAGGCCAGAGGAGGGCATCAGATCCCCTGAAACTGGAGTTACAGACAGTTGTGAGCTACTATGTGGGTGCTGGGAACTGAACCAGGGTCTTCTATAAGAGCATCCAGTGCCTTTAACTGCTGAGCCATCCCTCTAGTCCCATGAATTTATTACTTTTTTATATAACTCTGTGGAAAGCTCAGATGTAAAGAAAGTTTGGTAACTCTGGCTGACCTGGAACTCACTTTGTAGACCAGGCTGGCCTCAGACTCACAGAGATCCACCTGTATCTGCCTCCAAGTACTGAAAGTGTCTGGTTTTATATTTTGTAACCACCTTGAGTTATATGTATTATAGTAATAACATTGATATAATTGTTAGAGACTTTAAGAATACTTATAGAGGGACTGGAGAGATGGCTCAGCACTTAAGAGCACTGGCTGTTCCTGTAGAGGATCCGGTTTCAGTTCTCAGCACTTACATAGTGACTAACAACTATCTATAACTCCAGTTCCAAGGGATCTGACACCTTCTTCTGGCCTCCATGGTCATTGTATGCACATGGTGCACTTACATACTTGCAAGCAAAATATTTCATACATATAAAGCACTCAAACACAGTAAATAAAAATTGACTTTTAAAAAAAGAATACTTGTAGAGTGAACCAAGTTGGTAATGTGATTTTCATTTGTTGTTAGAAGTACAGTCTTGGAAAAGGTGAATGTTTGTCAATGATTTAGTTCATATTAATGAAACATTCAGTTACATGTTATGATTTTGGATGTGAATAGTACATTTATCTTTTAGTTCATTTGGTTTGAACTTTTTTCTAGGTTAGTGATTCAGTTGAAAAGTCTCACAACTATGAAGTAGGTAGCTCATGTTTTCCCTCTAATGTTCATTGGCTGCTGAAAAGGAGAGCTTGTCATTTGTTCTGAAACTCAGAAGCCTGAATCATTTATTGTTTAGAAAGCCGTTATTTGTTCTGTGTTAGTCATTAATGATGGCTGTTAGAATCATCTTTCTTCAGCTTTACTGAATTAGAACCGTGGTGCTCAGAAATGTGGTTGGCAGTAGACTGAACTACTAGGGACTCGAATAGCTTGTGTCTTGTTAGTATAGTCCCTAGAACTGACAACTAAATTTTAAGGAAGATCCAAATTGACAAATTTTGTGTTTCCACTTTTGGCAAAAAGTCACAAGATAATGATGGTTCTGAAATAATCTCTTTACATGGCTATTTAATGTAATTATTCAGTCTTCTGAGTTTATCTTGATTTGTTTTCTAAGTAACAGTAATAATAGGACATTGAGCTTTCATGATCTGGAGGTACCATTAAATTTCCAGTTGATGCAACTTGGATTATGTTTGTAATGACTTTTCCTCTTAAACTCAGGATGATGCTCTAGTTTTATGATATTTCATTTCTTGTTTCTCTTAAAGTTGTTAGTAAAAAGCATTCTCCTTCCCCATAGAAATTGAAATGGAATATGATTATAGTGTTCTCTAAGGAAGGTTGTTTGTCATAGAATTCTATAAGCTGTAATTATCCTATCAATTTTATTACAGGTTTTTGTTTTTCAGGATTAAAATATGACTTTTGTCCTTTAAGGAAATTGAATTTTTTTGAAGCAAAATTAAATTAAACATATTTAGTATTAATGGATGAAATGAGAACATAGGTTTATTAATTTACAATGAGAAATATGGTGAACTGTGACTGAAATTTTAAAAGTTCCTTGGCATGCTCATTTCCTCTAGAAGGAAATCATATGTTGAAAACCTGCTTACAGTGAATGGAAACAGAAGAGCAAGTTGGGTGAATTAAATATTTGTTAGTTTCAGATTAAAATAGTGAACTTAGCCAAGCATGGTGGACCACACTTTTGATCCCAGTGCTTGGAAGGCAGAGGCAGATGGCAGTTCTCTTGAGTTCAAAGCCAGCCTGGTCTACAGAGTAAGTTCCAGGCTAGCTGGGGCTACATGGTGAGACCTTGTCTTTAAAAAAAAAAAAAAGTGAATTATTGTATATCAGAATACAAATAATCTTGCCAATGGACTGTACTGATGATTGCTTTTATGACTTTCTCACATTTACACAATTTCACTGCCTAATATATTTTATTTTGACTTCTCTGAAATTACTGTTGCTAAAGTTTCTAATGGCATTGATTATCTTGGTTTGATAAGGTTCTAAGTATGATACCAAAACCAGTTCGTAGTAACCTGAGCTTGGTGGTATATACTGTAATCCCAGCATTTAGGATGCTAGGAAAGCACAAGAGTTTGAGGCCAGCCTAGATGCTATTAGCCTGACCCTGTCTCAAAAATGAAGTTTTTTCTTATGACAGATAAAGGCACCATTAAATAATAAGAATTCACATAGATAAAAAGACTCTGGAGGCTGGAGAGATGGCTCAGTGGATAAGAACACTGTTCTTGCAGAAGACCCGGGTTTGAATCCCAGCACCCACATGGCAGCTAACAACTGTCCGTAACTCCAGTTCTAGGGGATCTGACAGCCTCTTCTGTCCTCTGCCGGCATTGCATGACATGGGTGCACTTACCTACATGCAGGCAATACACTCATACACATAAAATAAAAATAATAAATCAAATATTAAAAAAAGACTGCAAGTAGAAATAGACAAAGAAGAGAAAATACAAGTGTTCAATAAATGTGGAAGAAGGGTTTCAGATTCACCAGTAGCAAAAGAATTAAAATAAAAATACTGTCTCCTCAAACATCAGAACCAAGAACAAGTGGTGACGTGGTGATCACCGTGTTTCCGGCTCTGTTGTTAGTATATTGCTTAAATTAATCCTCACAATGCTTAATGAGTAAATGAGTAAACTGAGACACAAAGAGAAGTGAACAGCATAAGGTCACATGGCATTAAGTGATAAAGCCAGGGTTTAAACTCTGAGGTTTCAATGTTCTTTCTTTCTTTGTTTTTGTTTTTGGTCTTTTTGAGACAGGGTCTCACTGTAGCCCCAGCTGTCCTGGAATTCACTATATAGACCAGGCTGGCCTTGAACTCAGAGAGATCCGCCTGTCTCTGTTTCCCAAGTGCTGGGATTAAAGGAGTGCACTGCCATGCCTGGCCCTCAATGCTCTTTTTAAAGTTAAAAAAAATTTTTTTTTAATGCGTATGGGTGTTTTGCCTGCATGTATGTAAGTGCACCATAGAGGTTAGAAGGGCGGATGGGATCCCTTGGAGCTGGAGTTACAGATGGTTGGTAGCTAGCTGCCATGTGGGTGCTGGGAACTTACTGCAAATGCAACCAGTGCTCTTGACTGCTGAACCATCTCTCCAGCCCCTCAATGTTCTTTTTAAAACTTTTTATTTATTATAATTGTGTATATATGTGTTACATATGTTAGTGTGGGCATGTGTACCATGGAACATGAGTGGAAGTCAGAGGAAAGCTTTGGAATCGGTTCCCTCCTTCCACCTTCATGTCTGTTCTGAGGATCAAACTCAAATCTGGCTTGTTTGGCAAGTGCCTTTAACCCACTGAGCTATCTCTCCAGCCCATAAGTACCCTTTAGCTACTGCCCTTTGTTGCCTCTCTGGCATTTTAATAGAGAATAGCCAGTGGTAAGAGCACCAGAGAGTCAGCCTTTTATATGCTATTGGTTAGAATATAAATTGACGAGCATTTCTGTAAGACATTTAAATATATGGGTTTGTAAGCTTTAACATGTACATAGCCTTTGAATCAGACTTTATCCTAAGGAAATCCTTACAATAAATAACATTAAAATATAAGTTCAGAGGAGCTGGAGAGAGAACTTAGCAATTAAGTTCTTGCAGAGAATATACACTACTCTTGCAGAGTACCTGGGCTCAGTTCCTAGCCCCCACATCAGGCAGCTCACAACTGCCTGAAACTCCAGTTCCAGGGGATCTGAGGTTCCTTTTCTAGATTTACAAACATCTGTATGCACAAGGTTCACATATATACAAGAAGGCACACACATGCATATCATTGAAAAATTGTGTGTGTGTGTGTACAGAAATTTAACCTGCAGTAGTTTGTTTTTTTTTTTTAAATAAACTTTTTTTTGGTCTTTTTGAACTTTGAGAAATAATGTCTTATTAAGCTTGTGTTTCTTATTAAAGTAATAAAATAAATCTAATTAGCTTGTGTAGGAACAAATTTGCCTTTCTGCATTTAACAAGTATGTTGAGTATGTGGTGTTTCAAAGCGTTCTAATAAAACTGAAACATCTGGGTTTTTTTTTCTTTTTAGCTGTAAATAGGTTGCATGTGTGAAGGTGAGATAACGTTAATGTTCAATAAAGATGTTAAATATCTTTTCGTTAAAGGTAGCACATCAGCAAGGAATTTGAATTTGAAATAAGCATCATAATTGCTATAGGAGACTTGCTTTAGCTCTTTTAACTCTGTTTTTTTATTTTTGTTCTTAAACTCTTTTTATGTTTAGCATTTCTATAAAAATGCCTTAGAAAAAGAACCATGGAGAAGTATGTTAGACTACAAAAGATTGGAGAAGGCTCTTTTGGAAAAGCTGTTCTTGTTAAATCTGCAGAGGATGGCAGACAGTATGTTATCAAGGAAATTAACATCTCAAGAGTAAGTATGTTTTTAGTCGGTTGTTCAAGGACTAATTTGGTTACAGTAGGACTCTTTGTTAGAGACTTAAAAAATAGGGAAATACATAACCTGATATGAAAGACTGCCATAATCCCACAGAGAATCACCACCAAAGTCTGTGTCTTATCAAATCTTTCCTCATATGCTCCTGTGCTCTAAAGGAAAATACACCTGCTCTTCTGTAACTTAATCAAATTGAGCATCTTATAATGTTTTTACCCATAGGTTCAGTTCATTCTTTTTAACTTATTGCTATGTTTTGATTCTACTCTATTAGTACCGTGTTTTGTTTTGATGGACTTTTAATTTTCTTATTAGTGGCTTAATGTACCATTTTCCTTTTTCTTCCCATTTAAGATGTCCAATAAAGAAAGGGAAGAATCAAGAAGAGAAGTCGCTGTGTTGGCAAACATGAAGCATCCGAATATTGTCCAATATAGAGAGTCATTCGAAGGTCAGATATATTTTGCAAGAGTTCAAAATAAACCTTAAGCCTCTATTTAGGACTTTTGGATATTTTCCTTGTGAGGAATTAAGATGTGAGTGTATTCTCAGAAAAAAAAAGTTATTTTTGCTTCAATATGTGTGCATTTAAGTATCGGTTTGGTTCTAGGATAGTAGTGACAGCACACTCTCCCCTTGTGGTTTAATGCTGACTTGTTATTAGTGATAGCTTAAAAAGGGGCAGTGTAGTACAAGAATTTAGATAGGGCAAGACAGTAATTAACGTGTTTTAAACTTAAACTCTGTTTAAATTTTGGCACCACTACCACTGAGAAAATGTTCTGATTTATTTTTTAATAACTTTTCATTTATTCTTTGGCAATTTCATTTATATAGCTAATGAATTTTAATGATATTCCCACACGTACCCATCCCCATCTTACCTTCCACTCCATTGGAGCCTTTCTTCCTACATGAACCCCACCTACTTTCTTGTGTTTTTTGTTTGCTTCTTTTAAATAACTCACGGAGTTTAATTAGGGTTGCTTGCATGTGCATGGTTGTTTGGGTTTTTCCTGGATCATGGACAACTTGCCAGTGACTATACCACTGAAGAAAAATGACTCCCTCCCCCATAGCAGCCATTAACTGTCAGTAGCCCCTGAGCTAGCAGTGCAGGTTCTGTGTCCCTCCCTGCTCCATGTTGGGATGTTGATGGGTTCCATTGTGTGTGGTTCTTGTGCAGGCAGCCTTAGCTGATGTGAGTTCGTGAGTAAGATGGCCATGTGACATCCACAGACAGCATTTCACAGAACTCCTCATTCTCCTGCTTCTTACATTCTTCCTGTCCCCTCTTCCAGAGTGTTCCCTGAGCCTTCATGTTCTCTCTTTAGAAAGTACTCTTTGGATTATTGTACTCCTCTATACCTCATTATTATAACACTGGTGGTATAGTGATTGTTTTCAAAGTTCTTAAAATAGAATAACTATAATGCTGTTGTGGGAGTATATATTATTATATTTGCTAATGCAGAAAATAAAGTAAGGCACAGTATCTCTAAGACAGTCAAGGAGATTATTGAATACCTATACAAATATTCCCATTAATACAATAAATCCTTATAAATCCCAAAACAGAAAAATAGTCTAGATGAAAAGTAGAATATGGTTGAGGGCTGGTATAATGGCTGAGGTCAGCAGATAAAGGCCCTTGCTGACAAGCCTGATAACTTGAACCTGATTCCAGGACCTACCAACATGGAAGGAGATTTGTGCAAATTATCCTCTGACCTTTATGTGGGTGCTCTGGCATGTGCATGTGTGCATATGCACACAAAATAAATAATAAAAAATATATTTTAAGTAAACTTTAAAAGAAAAAGTAAAAGATGATTGAAATGCCTATTTCAGGGTCATGTTGCAGTTTGATTCTGAATTAGAGCTGAAGTAACTTTGCTCTTAGGGAACAAATATCTACTAGAGCAGAGCATACAAACTTAACAAATGGGGGTCATCATCACATTATGTACTTAATTTTTTTTTATGGTGGTAGTAAAATATTTGTATGGTTTTGAGACAGTCTCATTGTGTAGCCTAGGCTGGCTTTAAATTTGCTGGCCTTTACCTCCCATTCCACTCACTCCAACCTCCTGAGCACTGGAATTGCAAGCATGTGCCACCACACCTAGCTAAAGCTTCTATCTTATGTCAGAGAATACAGTGGTAACCAACACTTAGTGCTCAGGACATTGAATTTCTTTTATCTTTTCTCTAGCATCTGTCTTTGAGTTTCTTCTCTTTCACCACAACTTTAAAATTTCATAATGTAAATGTACATTGACAAATTTTTCAGCATGCATTTTGTATGTATATTTACTGCTTCACATAGAAATATCTGAATTATTAAAAAAAGGAAAGCTCATTTTTAAAATATGACTTTAACTGTTACTTCATTTTTTTATTATTATTTTCATTTTATGTATATGAGTGTATTGCCTGCATGTATGTAAGTGTACCTGTGTCGTAAAATGCCACGGAGGTCAGAAGAGAGCTTTGGATTTCCCTGGAACTGGAGTTAAGGATGGTTTGTAGCCACCATGTGGGTGCTGGGAATCGAACCCGGGTCCTCTGCAAGAGCAGCCAGTGCTCTTAATCGATGAGCCATCTCTCTAGCCCCCTTATGAGCATTTTTTAAAGATGAAGTAACAGGGGCTGGAGAGATGGTGGTTAAGGGCACTGACTGCTCTTGCAGAGGACTAGGGTTCAGGTCCCAGCACCCACATGGCAACTAACAACTGTCCATAACTCCAGTTCCAGGGGATCCAACACCACCCTCTGACCTTTGTGGGCATTGCATTACACAGGTGCACTTAAATACATTCAGGCAATACACTCATACACATAAAATAAAAAGCAATTTTTTTTAAATGCTCATAATAAACATTCGAAAAGACATGCATGGCTACAAGTTCTCAGCTCCTCTGATTCCACCTTCCTTCCTCCCTGGAAATGATCACTGTTTTGTTTTGTTTTTTTTTCCTTCAGTTGTTTGTTTGTTTGTTGTTTTGTGGAGATTTGTTTTGTTTTGTTTTTAAGACACTGTTAGATTTAGAAGAGCAGAAAAAGAATAAAGTTTAGGGATAAATGACCAGAGCCAGATCTTCAGCTGACTGAACTGCATTTATTCAGGGAGGCAGCAACAGCCTTCCCATGGAATGAAAGTTGTATCCAGGGCAGAGGGAATTGTTCTGATTATATAGGGTTGGGAAATAGAGTATACATAACTGAGGAGTCTGAGCCAAGGTGTCCTTGGGAAACACATGGTCCCCTCTTTCCTGGAGCCGTTTGCTTGAGTAAAACGAAGCTGTTTCAGCTCGGATGTAGCTAGCCCATGGCAATGGAGCAAGGACAGCAGAAAGACATCCTGGCAAGAGAAATGAGTTGTCTGGCTTTTCTGCAGCTGTAGCCTCCATCAGGCCCAAGATAGGGATGTGGCTAACTCGTAACAGTAGGGCTGGGGCAAGACATCTGTCTCAGGAAACTTCTGACTTCTATCAGACAGGGTCTCCCTATAGCCACAGCTGGCTTAGAACTCACTATGTAGACCAGACTGGCTGAGATCTGCCTTTCTCTGCCTCCCCAGGGCTGGGATTAAAGTAATGTACCACTATGCCTGTCTCAGAATTAGCACTGTCAGCAATCCATTGCTGTGTTTTTCCTGACTGCTCTTGCACCACAATCAATGCTGAAGACTTCTATGACCTCAATAGGTGTGAGAGTTTTTATAGTATCAAGCAAGCAGTTCTACAGTGGATACCAGTTAGAAACCCTCCAATCCAATTCACATCAGACACTGTAGACCTGGAGGTATTGTCAGATTGTACAGATTGAGGTCAGTCCCAAAGTCACTCTCTATTTCAGACACCAAGCAAGTCCAGTCCTACAAACTTCTGCCAAACAGGTAACAAATGAACATTCCCATGACCTCCTTTGCAGATTCTATTAATTGGCTACAGCATTTCACAGAACTCCAGGAAATGCTATACTTACATTTATAATTTTTTTTTTTTGATGTTTTTGAGACATGGTCTCCCTGTAGCCCCAGCTGGCCTGGAACTTACTATGTAGACCAGGCTGGCCTCGAACTCACAGAGATCCACCTGCCTCGGCCTCCCAAGTGCTAGGACTACAGGTGTGTGCCACCACACCTGGCCTAATAATTAACAATACATAGATAGATAGATAGATAGATAGATAGATAGATAGATAGACGGACGTGTATCCTTTTTAATTAACACATACACCCCAAACTGCTGGAAAATGGAAGTTAAAGCATCTGACTTTTTTGGCTTGAGAATTGAGGCTAGTGAAGGGCAGAGTGCTAGAATTGGCCATTAGCCCACAAGAATTAGGTTTATATCTCATAACTCCATTACTGTTTTTCTGTTAAACTTATAGTTATTCTCTAATATATTAACTGCTTTGTTGCTTGGCTTACAGTTTTGGTTTTGGGTTTTGGTTGTTTTTTTTTTTTTTCTTTAAGTTCAAGGGGCCTCTGAGATGGTAGTTGTTTTTGTCTTTTAGACGTCTTTGTGTATGAACCTATTGGTGCTAAGTGTATTTTTGTGTCTGTATCTTATGCAAAGTACCTGACAAACAAGTGGCAATAAGGTATTAGAAGGAATACAAAACAGATTGTTACTTCCCTTACAGAGAAAATAGTTTTCTGTTAATCTCATATTTTAAATATTTTATTATTTTTATTTAATGTGTATGAGTATATTGCCTGCATGTGTGTCAGTGCACCTGTGTAGTGCAGTGCCTTCAGAGGCCAGAAGAGGGCGTAGAGTCCCCTGGAACTTCAGTTACAGATGGTTGTTAGCTGCCATATGGGTGCTGGGAATCAAACCCAGTCCTCTGTAAGAGCAGTTGTGCTCTTAACTGCTGAACCATCTCTCCAGCCCCCAATCTCATAATTTAAACAAGTATTGAGTAGGTGTGGTGTTACACACCTGCGATACTAGCACTAGGGAGGTGGAAGCAGGAGAATCATGAGTTTAAGGCCAGCCTGGGCTACTTACATAGAAACCCTGGCAAGCAATGATAGAGAGAGAGAGAGAATTCTCCTGTAAGTAATAGGTATCTGAGTAGCAAAAAACATAATAGTTCATTTACTAAAGCGGTAATATTTTACTTCTAGAATTTCCTTGGGTTGTATGTAAACTTTCCTCTCTCTCTCTCTCTCTCTCTCTCTCTCTCTCACACACACACACACACACACACACACACACACACACACACATACACATTCTCTCTCTCTCTCCCTACCCCCCACCATGCTCCAGTGCTGGGGATCAACCCAGGGCTTTGTACATTCTAAGCTTCTAAGCAACCACATTACCACTGAGCTACATTCCCAGCTTTACCACAGGATCTTGCTGTGTAACCCAGATTAGCCTTGAATGTGCAGTACTCCTGCCTCAGCCTCTTGGCATGCACCACATTTGGCTTTCAAAGCATAGAAAGTTTGTCTTCTATGCCTATCAAAGGACTGCCTTTCCTTTCTTAGAATTAACTACTATCTTATGTTTCCTCTCAGAAATGATCTAAATATTAATAGGTGTATAGCAATGATAACACACTATGTCTTTTTTTGTGTGTCTTATGCCATATAGGCAATAGCATCCTGTATATTTTTTCATTGTTTTATTTATAGATTTTGTGTGTGTGTGTATATTTCATACAGAACATCCCAAACAATCTTATTCATCCGAAATGGCACTTCCCACAGCCTACCCCCTGCCCCCATTGGGGCCTATATGCTCTGTCATCACTGTTGCTGTCCACTGTGTTATCAGTGATCCAGCTGTTACCCAGTGCTTGTCCATCCACTGAATCTAGTCAGCCTATCTAGAGATGTCTTGTTTTAGGAAGATCAGCTGCTCCTCATCTAGCAGTAATTACTTGTCAATATTCTTTTAGATAAGATTGGGGTCTGCTGTTCATTTTCCCATTTCTATGCTGGGTTACTGTCTGGGAGTCTCTTGGGCCATCCTGGCCAATAACTCAAAGGAAGGTATCTCCTGTCTGGCATTGTTTCTTGTTATGTAGCCTTTAGCTATACACATGGACTCTTAAAGAATTATACTGATCACTTTAATCTTTGGTTATACTTTCCTTTTGGGTGTTTAAGACCCAATCTAGTTGGTCCAGATTAACCAATTTAGTTATTTTTATTCTTAAGGTTGTAAAGGTAGAACTAACGTTCTTGGATGTTTTAACAGCCATACTTTGAGGCCTATACTAATCTGGTCAGAGGGACTTAGAGGACAGTTTTTGCTCCTTGTCCTCCAAGGTCAACTAAGTTCCAGGGGACTATGGAGCATCTCTCAAAATGTCCTGTAACTGGTGAGTCACCTGTGCTCTTGATCAAGGAGGTTGTGGAACTCCCACCAAATGGACTTGAACCTATGTCCAGTCTACAAAGAGGAGGGTCAACACAGAGGAAACATTTCCATGCTTCCAAGTGAAGCCAGCCACAGTCGAGCAGGACCTTTGACTTATCTTCACATAGATGGAACTAGTAAAAGAAAGGAGCCAGGGGCTTCTCCCAAGCCCATGTGACCTCTGAGGAATGCATCCTGTATATTTTATAAATAACAAATTGTACAGTTTTCAGGGGTTTTGTTTTGTGTGTTTTTTCATTTTGTCATTTCATCTATATTTGGACAGTCTTTCAGTGTTAGGCACATAGATCCTTAATTAGCTTAATCCATGCACATTCCTAGTCCTGATGGTGCATTATAGGCAGTGTCCTGGAAGACCATATGATAATAAGACTACCCTAAATGAGCAATGAGATTGCTCAGGGGTCAGTAAATGTACAGGTGATAGTGGCCACTCTTCGTGCATGGAAAGAAGTTGGTATTAGAAAGAATGTCTATTTTCTAGTCCTTTCTGTCCTTGGAAAGAGACACAGAAGCCCCTTTCTCTAAGCATAAAGACACAGAAGATGTAAACGTGATTAGGAAGATACAACGTGATTAGGGCAGTGCCCATCTTCATGTTTATTTGCAAATTGTATACAGGTTTGTTTGGTTTTTGAGTTTTTTTTAGGTCTTTTTTTTTTGAGACAGGGTCTCCCTGTAGCCCCAGCTGGCCTGGAATTCACTATATAGACCACACTGACCTTGAACTCACAGAGATCTGCCTATCTCTGCCTCCTGAGTGCTGGGATTAAAGGCATGCACGACTTCGCTGGTCTTGTGTTTTTTTTTGTTTTGCTTGTTTTTTAAGAGAATAAAAGAAAGCTCTAAGAGGGTAGACGCGGTGTCCTATTCACATGACTCTCAGAGTCCATCACAGCACTTACTGTATGTTTGTGTTTAATAAGTCATTCATTCAAGTCAATTACCCAAAATGGAAAATTAACGGTCATTTGGAATTTCAGATTTGGAATCTGACAAATGGTTGGAAAAACATGAGTTCATATACAACATTTAAGGAAATGTGCCAATTGAACAAATCAAGTATATTGGTCTATATTTTATTTGTATTGTAGAAGTATTAAGGTCAATATGAACATCATTCTCCAATCGAATGATGTATTCTTGGTAGAAAAATCATTGGTACCTAAAACTTTGTACAGTCTATGTAAACAGGATACCTTGATTTTGTACTCTAATTCTTTTGTGTAATGTTCTGTTGTTTAGCTGCTGCTTTTTAGGAAACTTTTAAGCACTAATTTATGCTTTTTATGTGACATTTTAAGATTAATATTATATTTATATTTTGTAGAAAATGGCTCTCTCTACATAGTGATGGATTACTGTGAAGGAGGAGATCTGTTTAAAAGAATAAATGCTCAGAAAGGCATTTTATTTCAAGAAGATCAGGTGGGTTGGCATATAGGAGCTTGATTCTTACCCCATTACCAAGAAGTAATTCAAAGTTTGATTTTGTGTGTGTTCACTTCTTTTTTTGAGACAGTGTCTCATGTAGCCCAGGCTAGCTCAAACTATGTAGCCGTAGCTGGCCTGGAACTGCTGAGACTATAGACATGTGCCACCACCCAGCTGTGTGAATTCATTCTTATCTACATGTACTAATTGTAATCACTAGGGCAGTTTAACATTATATCCAATATATTGTCACATTTCTAATTAGTGACCATCCTTGTTTAGTTCCCTGTTTCATCTCCATTCTGTAGCATATGGTTATATGTGTGATATAAGGAACACCCTATGTGTGTATGTAACCTAATTAGTCTTTATAACTGGTTAATTTTCTTTGTCCTGTCTGTCTTACTGCTGTCAAGTCACAGCTTCCAGAACCATAGCCTCGCTAGAGAACTCTAGCTCTGGAAGCTTTGCATTGGTAACTGCACCAAATCTAATTTGTCTGACTACAAGAATCTCTAAAATATGGTTCTACCTTCCCTAAGCAGCCTTATTTGTTTTATTACTTCCTAAATCTGTACCCATTGTCATTTATTTTAGTAGATATTGAGAATGTATTTCGGTTAGACATTGAACCATGTGTTTGTACGTCTCTTTCCTGTGTTTTTACTCTGATTATTTGTTTTTGTAATGTATCCCCCCTAACTCTTTTATTAATATTCTACTTTTGCTATTTAAAATCCAGCCCCAGTCTCAGTTTATTTAAAAATTTCATGACTGATTTCTTTGGTTCTTTACTTCTCTAAATTCCTGCTGCACTTTTCATTGTCATCCATTTTTTATTTTAATTGGAATGGAGCATTGTGCTAGGAGTGTTATTATTATTATTTTTTTTAATCTTATGGCCTTAGGAATTAATATACTTTTTCCTGTTTAATAGATAAAGATCTACGAGAGGCTAAGTAACTTACCCCAGATACATAGTGGGTGTTTGAACCTGTTTCTGTTTAATAGCAAAATTTATACATTTTTCTTTTTTCAAAGTAAAAGTGTAAAAACACTCTAATGTGTTCGTAAGTGGAAAGTCCTCTTACCCTACTGTTCTTTCCCTGAGATTGCCACTTAGTTTGGTGTTTTTACCGCTTTTCAGCTCTGTTTCATCATCTCCAGACTGAGCTGGCTCTTATGTATAGTTCTTCAAGACTTAGAACATTACCTCTCTGGAATTATTGGATTACTTGCCCATTTCTCTCTCTGTTTTTTTTTTTTTCATGTGTATGAATATATTGCCTGCATGTATGTAAGTGCACTGGTGTCATGCAGTTCCTGCAGAGGTCAGAGAAGGGCATCAGATTGCCTAGAATTGGAGTTATGGGTGGTTGTTAACTGCCATGTGGATGCTGGGAATTGAACTTAGGTCCTCTGCATGAGCAGCCAGTGCTCTTAACTGCTGAGCCATCTTTCCAGCCCCCAAATCTTTTTTTTTTTTTTTTGACAGGGTCACCCATAGCCCCAGCCCACCTGGACCTCACTATGTAGACCAGGCTGGCCTTGATCTCACAGAGATTCACCTGCCTCTGCCTCCCAAGGACTGGGATTAAAGGAGTGTGCCACCATACAAGCTCTCTCTGTAGTGATTAGGAAATGATGGTCTGTGACTCAAATCCAGCCCACTGTCTTTATAAAGTTTTATGAGAACACAGCTATATCATTTATGATTGCTTTTGTACTACAGTGGGGAGTTCAGAGAGAACAAGTGGCCTATAAAACCTAACCCATTTACTGTTTTATCCTTTACAGAATAAATTTGCTGAACCCTAATTTAGGAGCTATTCCATTAACAAACAGTTAGCAGCCGATTTCTATACATATCTGTGTATTGTTGAATATATTTTTGTCAAATTAAAGCGAAGTACAAGTGTGGGACATACGGTAGTGGAAGAGCCCTACGTTGAAGTGAGTTGGGGTGACTGCCATTCTCGTTCCATTCTGCTGCTGGTTACCACAGCAGTTGAACTCACCTGAGCCTTTTCATCTTTTTATACTTATACCTATCTCTATAATTAGATGATGCATTTTATTACAAGTATTTGTGAGTCTCTACTACCATATGAACAACTGAAGTCAATTTTTACTTAAAATGCCTTAGGTAACTTTGGAAAGCCATTTAATATTTTACACTTTTCTCAGTAAAGATCTACAAAACTGAAATGAAGGGGTTTCTTAATTTTAATATTTTTTATTGTTTTTGTCAATATGGCCTCACTGTGTGGCTGACCTGGAACTCATGACTCATGATCCTTCTGCCTCCACCTCCCAAATGAGGGGGGATTTTTTTTTTAAAAGGAAATTATTTTAAATGTATTATTTGTT